GAACGAGGTACAACACATGGTGGCCCCGCTGCACAGCTGGGCTCGGTGAAGAGCAGTTACCGAACTAAGGAGTGACTGTGATGCGACAGTATATATCAGGCGGAGCCTGACATCTGTCGTCATTACGTCACCTGCCTAAAGGCGTGAATAGAGGTGGCTTCAGCCAGGACACGCAGGAGTGTGGGTTCCCATACATGATGTTGTRCCTCGTTCCTTTCCTTCRGGGAACAGTAGTCATATGCATAACATTACGTTTTGTTCAGTAATTGCTCAGTGTGAAGGGTTGAAAACAATCATTTGGAACCACTAATTTAATCACACAGCCCAGAATGGTGATGACTGGCAGAAGRTTCAGGAAAATTTGATGTTGCTTTTGGGRACATAATGTGTTATGTTGGAAKTTTATAAAAACCTTCCACTCTGAACAAAAAGTCTCAATAAATGTAGTTCAGATCTATTCATCATTACAGYATTAACAGTACAATGGAATTTGTCTGTATTAACGTTGATCAGGTTTATTTATGTTCAAAAAGAAAATAGTGATTCTGAGACTGATTCTTGATAAGCATGTGTGGTGTAAAACATTTAGAAACCTCCCAGCTCACAGATCTGATTCCTACTTAAATAAGATTTTCTTAAGTGAAATTCAGAAAACATAGATCAATAGGCCTGCAGGGAGGAAATTCCTGTCATAGTCACTCAAATAACGCAGTTATTTTTTATTTATTTTTTTTAGGGTGCTGTAGTTCTACTCTACTTTTAAACCTGTTTGACAGCCTGATAAGAATATGATAAAGAACGTAATTTGTTCACTCACAAGGAATTTAAAAACCTCTATAGGTCAGGCATTTCAGAGAGCATTGTGTAGGTCTTTATGGTTTTCTTTAAGAAGAAAAAATACATGTTTTATATAAAAGAGTTTTCATTTTTAACAGGAAAGATTAAAACGATGAGGTCACAGGTGCAACAATAMAATCTGCTGCCACAGCTACACATTATTAAAACCTGACCCGTTTCTACTGTCTTTGAGTTTGAGAGATTTATACACTTCAGAAGTTGTGACAGGATTAAAACTAAAAGACTGACTCACTAAAAGATCATCTGAGCAAACACTTATAAGCAATAATAAAACACTTTACGAAGATAAAAAAGAAATCCTCAATGAAACAGAGCATCTTGGCTTCATCTGAGATAGTTCTGTGTGTACCTAACATTTAATGGTAGATTTGTTTAGCCATCATCCTTTCCAATAAAATATTCAATTGCTTTAAAATACAASCATTTTATATAGTTATAATATAGATAATAAAGTAATATCTCTGCTAGGAAACAATACACATTAAGCACACTGTAAACTATTTTAATTAGGTCACTCTGAAATATTTTTTGCCGCAGCTGTGATAACATCACTGAAGGAAAGTTTGTGACTGATTAACTGAATGTTTGATCCAGTATTGTATTTCATATCTTCTGATCATTGCAGCCACATGGTTTAAAACAAATGCGTTCTTTGTCTGTATAAACAAAGTTGGTTGCATTCTAACGTCTGATGTAAAAGGTAACACCTTCAGGGGTGTAACCAGGAAGGGACATAAAGTATGTTAAAGGTTGAATCATCATTGTTTTGGGGCCGAGATTTTTATTTTTTAGAAATACTTTTTTTAGTTCTTGTGGGCAGTCTCTCCTTAGATTCAGCCTGGGACAGACGCCGCTCCTGAGAGTTTGCTATTTGTTTAGCTTCTGATAAGGCACCAATGTCTTCTGGCTGACTGAAGCCTGACTGTATGTGCTGCTGGAGCTGATTAGAGTCAGAGGTGAGAAAAATGTTTTTAGAAGGGATTCAACTGGTTTTCTGCTATATTATTCAGACTTTCATTTATTAATCACAAAATCCCTTCACTACAATTAAAGCAAGTCCTGAAAAAAATGATCTGAAAAATGTTAAAGGCCATGCTTAATTACAATGTAAATATGTTTTGGAGCATGTTTGGGCCACTTCAGAAATAGAATCTCATTGATGTTCTTTGCTGCAAAAATTATAAATGTAGAGATTGTGGTTGTTCTCCCCCTAATTGATTGTGTTGCAGAATCAGCCTGTGGGCGGAGACTTGGGTGGACTCACCTGCACAGCGTTCTTCTGATGAGCCTGTGGCACCATTCAAGCTGCTGGCTGAGATACATCCGATGCTGGAAGATGGTTTTATAAAATTCAGAAGAATGTAGGAGAAAGAAGAAAGGGAAGAAGAAATAGAAAGGAGGAACGAGTGATAACAAGGTTAAGATTTGGACATACAGGACTTAATTATACACTTTTTAAAATTCAAAAACATAAAACTGGCAAATGTGATTGTTGTGACAAATATGAAACCATAGAGCATGTTATATTAGAATGCCATAAATATGAAATAGAGAGAAGATACATGAAGAGAGACTTTGAAAGTATTAAGGAGAAGGTTCATTTAATAGATATATTGAGGAAGAATTTAGGGAGTAAACATATGCAAATAATTATTCGATTTCTAAAGAAAACTAAATTATTTCATAGAATTGAATTATAGTAAGTGTGTTTGTGAATGAAGACATGATATACAAAGTTGTGCATAAGTATGTATGTATTAAGTTTAAATGTATGAGTGTATGTTTAGATAGAATGTATGGTAGAATATATGTATATACAGATGAGGATAAATATTTAAACCATCACGAACCACACTCCATACCAGTAAGTGGCGGTAATGCTACTAACAGTTTGTTGCCAACCGCCATAAATCCGACAAGAAGAAGAAGAAGAACATCCAATGCTGGAATATTCAGTCACCTTTGGTACTGTATACAACAGCCTAGTGTTACCTCCTTGTGATTCTTTGAATCAACCCTTGTGATTTTTGTGTACTTACCTGTGTTCAGGTTAAAACCCTGTGGAGTCATCTGGAGAGGTTTTTCTGGTTCCTCCCTCATTGAAGCTCTGAACTTGTGCTCTGGAACTAGACTTTGTGGATCCTCCTTGCCATCTCCGCCCTGCCTTTCTCCAACACCACCACCTACAAGAACAACCAAATCCTTACATCCTCACCAACCTGGAAATCCTCTTCAGTCTACCCCTCCTTGCCAACCTTAACTCCAAGACCTGTAAGATGAAGAAAACATTTCACCTCTGCACAGAGCCCAACATTTCCCTTCAGCAAATCCTGGATAAACATCATTGTAAATAAACTCAATTAACTTTTTTTACTACCTGTGTCAGTTCCTGTTTTCTCATTATCCGTCGAGTCTGAATTTGGGTGTTCAGTTAAAACTACAACCCKATTAAAATATGTTGAGTTGAATAAGTCTGAACACACCAGATCTTGTTTCTTCTTAAGGGCTCGACACACGGGGAGCGACAAACTACAGCGATTAACGGCTGTCATCGCAGCCWGGGTGAAACCCGACACACGGGACGCRATAGCGATCGCAGCATTTCGAATCGCGCTCTCAGATCGCCTGTCTTCACAAAATTTGTTTGGTTCTTGACTCTAAAGGGGGGTGTGCATTATGGACGTGTAAACTAAACAAATCTTGCGATGCTAATGATATTGAAAAACAAACACACGTCAAGATTCAGTTATATGAGGAAAAACTTACCATAAACTTCACCCTGGTGCCAATAAATTCCCACAAAGCTTTTT